GGGGGGGTAAGGGAGCTTGGGTGAGCCGCCCCCAGGGCTGCCGAAGAGGATGCTAAGCTGCGTGGCATCTGCACAGAAGTCACCAAGTGCTTCCCACCCCCTGCCCATCTCCTGGGATTGGCCCTTCTCTTCCCGCCCCGCCCCTGCTTTTTTCAGTCCGCACCTCTGGCCCCAGGTCACTGACCTCCTTTGGAGGAAGGAGTTGGGTGCTGCCCAAAGGTCTACCTTTCTAGAGTAGCTGAGAAACCAATTCCTCCTCCCTGCCCCCCACTAGACTCTAACATAATCTCCCTTTTTATTTATTCAGGACACAAGAATGAGTGGGATTGAGGGAAGGTCAAGGGCTCCTGGAGGAGGTGACTCAGGGGTTCACCAAAGAGACCCATGATATCTCAGAGAAGTCCCTGGGATTCGCCTCCCAGCCCAGCTCAGGAGAGGGGCTGCCTAGGCATCAAATGTATTCGATTTATTTATTGCCTAGCAATAAAAGGGAGCTTGCTTGAGGAAGAGACGGACAGGGTCATCCAAGCTGGCTTGGCTAAACCCTGGTGGGGTGGTGGGGGGACACTGGCAGGCCCCCAGCTGAGGGCAATGGTTGTGCCACACCAGAGCCAGGGAGGGGGGCAGAGCCAGCATCTGGGCAAGGACCTGCCTTGCCCACCCACGGGATGGGACAGGATAGTCCCCTCCCTATCATGGCCTTGAAGTCACAGGCTGAGTCCTTCTGAGGTCTCCAGTCCCAAGTACGAGGTCTGGGCAAGAGAGAGCTGGCATCTCTCTGGTGCCCTGGCCTGAATGGAGAGGGGACTGGGGAAGTCAAGGCCCCCCGGGGGTCCCACCCTTAGGTTCGGACCTCGGTACGGAGGACTCACACTTGAGAAGTGTTTTCCTGTCCACAGCTGAGGGCAGCAACTCATAGGAGTTCATCTTAATGCCTGGAGGAGATTGAGGAGCTTTGCTGAGGACACTCTTACAGCCCAGTGTCCTTTCAGAGAGGGGCATGGGCTTCCAGGAGGCTGCGTCACCTGGGGAAGGTGCACATGGGCAGGCAGGGCTCTCCACCAGTGCCTGGAACCCCAAACACTGCCCTGCAGGGCTGTCCCACCCCCAGGGGGCAGGTGAGTCTCCAGTGGCCCCAGGCTGCCAGATACTGACCCTTCAGGAGGAGCTGATTGATGAAGCTGAGACCCATGTCCAGCAGCCGCGTCCGGAGCTCCGCCAGGGTCTCCGGCAACTGGAGAAAGCTCTGCTTCTCCTCACAGTTGGTGCTCATCAGGGCTTCCGAGCAGGCGGGAAAGTGCTTCAGTCTGGGGAACTCCTGGAGGCAGGGAGTGGCCAGCAGTACCACCCGTTAGCCTGGGGCCCAGGCAGATGCCAGGAGCTCCTGCTTATGCCAGGGACCCCACCGAGCCCAGAATCTTGGGGCAGGTGGAGAAATTGCTGGTTTTCAAACCTGGACATCTCTCTCCCTCCCCCCTGGTTGTGATGTCTTAGATCAGGGCTTTGCCAAAAAGTATGGCAAAGTGCATTAAGTAGAGTGGATTAGAAAACAATGGGAGGACGATTTCTTCTGAGCTTCGAGTTGCTTAGTGAAACACCTTGCCACATTTTTCCTGTGGTGTGTGTGTGGAGGGGTGGACGCTGTGAGCAACAGCTTTAGAAATCTGCTGGGGATGTGATAATCAGCTGAAGAAAGGTCTTTGCTCAGAGTTCCCGAGCACAGGGTTTGGGTAGCCCTGGGCCCCACCCTCGGAGAAGGTTGCTGTCACGCACGCCTCCACCAGTGACCCTGCCTGGTACCCTCTTGCAACAGCAGCAGGCTGCAGGACTGGGCCAGGGCTGGTGAAGGAAATGGGGTTTTCATCCCAGGCTGTATGGATTGGTCTGGTCTCATTCCCATCCCTGGTCTGGGAGAATCTGGAGAAACTTAGACTGTGGCAGATGCCAGGAATCCCAGGGTATGCTCCCTTCTGTTCCACGGACACGAAGGCAGGAACATCAGGTAAGAAGCCAAGGGTGTTGGTGTAAGCCCAGGACCCACGGCCTGGGGTGAGGAGGCTCCCCGAGGCAGAAGAATAGATGATGAGTTGCAGCCCCAAATGCTGATGGCTTAATCCTAGGTCTGAGCAGATCTGGTGTGTCTGGGGGTGGAGGAGGAGTGGAGTTCGGATCAGGGCCTGGGGCAGAGACAGGAGTGGGGGCGGGGGCTCGCCTGCAGGAATTGCTGGTCGCTCCTGTTGGCGAGCAGGGCGCGGAGCCAGATGCTGTCCCCCTCCAGCTTCAGGAGCCGGTTGTGGCTCTGCTGGATGGAGCTGCCCAGCTTCCCCAGAGCGGCTGCCTCCTCTTTCTCGACAAAATCCAAGACCTTCATCTGCAGCTGTCTGACCTCCTGGATGATCTCTGAGAAGCAGGCGTTCACCTCATCGCGTGTTGTCTGGATCAATTTCTGTGGGTGGGGCGGGGAGCGGGTTGTGGAGGGTGTGTTGAGAGGCATCTCTGAGCCCCAGCCCCTACTGTTATGGCCCGGAACCTGCCTAGGCATCCTGTTGCCAACTGCTGGGCCCCACGACATCCACTCCAGGCCCTGAGAGTGCCCCTCAGCCAGATGCAGGGCACTGGGGGGAAAGCCTGGGCCTGGGAGAGGGTGGGCCAGCCTTACCGAGAGAAAGGCCACCTGCCCCCGGTGCCTCTGGCTGTCAGAGTTGATGATCAGCATCTGGTTTTCCACGCTGGCCTGGACCTTCCGAACCTCCACCTGGGGTGAGGCAGGGGGAGGAGGAAAGGGCCCCTGATTCAGAAAGGTGGAGGTTCTTTCTTCTCCAGGGCCTTCTTGGAGAAACCCTTCTGCAAGCCCAGAGAAGACATACCTCTTACATTCCTAAGACGCCTATATGAGAGACAAAGGCAGAGCTGAAGGGCAGATGGCCCGGGTCTTCTACCCTCTGCTCATGCTGCTCATGGTCTCTCACTCCCTGAGACTCTCTCCCCATTCTTTTTTTTCTTTTTCTTTTTTTTTTTTTTAGAGGAGGAATGAGAGAGAGAGAGAGGGAGAGAAAGAGAGAATCCCAAGCGGGCTCCACATTGTCAGCATGGAGCCCGATGTGAGCCTTGAACTCACAAACCCAAGATCATGACCTTAGCTGAAATCAAGAGTCAGACGCTTAACCTGAGCCACCCAGGTGCCCTTTCCCCATTCTTAGGAATCAGGTTCTCTGTTCCTGACAGTGATGACCACAGGCTTTCAGATCACAAAAAGGGGCTGAAGAGGATTCAGTGGGCTGAGAGGGGGCAGTGGGTCGAGAAGGGGCACATCAGACATGGAGCCCTGGAGATACCTCACTGGGGTGGCGCTGCCTGGGACACGCTGTGTCCCAAGTTCTGTGAAGAAGCCTCCAGTCTCCACCCGTTCTGGGAAGAGTCATGTTCTTGTTTATGACAGGTGATAGAACTGTGTTGTTCCAGTGGATTGTTGTGTTGTCCAGTGGATTGTTGCTGGCACACAACAAAATGAGCAGCTCAAGCCAGACTGTACATCAACCCAGTGCTTGCTTTGTTGACAAAGTCTTACTATGGACAAAGTGTCCACTGAGCTGAACGGTGTGGCCACTTGGCTTACATGCCCTCAGGAGCTCCTTGCAGTGGACCATCAAGGGGTGGCTATGTGGAAATATTACTGTTACCAAATATATTTGATAGAATGCCTGAAATAGAAGTGTGCCACTATAAAAAGCAGTTCAAATCTGGCTTTCCACATTTTAATTTTGTTTAATATTTCCATATATTAAACAAAATTTGAAAGTAGAGAAAAGGAGGGGATCTGCCCAACCTGACGTATTTCTACTCTGACATGTTTTCTTCCAGCCTTTCCTTTATCTACGCAAAAAAGTTAACATGGAACTCACACATACAGTTTTGGATCCTTGTTCATCAAACCCACCAACGTTTAGGGGCGCCTGGGTGGCGCAGTCGGTTAAGCGTCCGACCAGGCGTCACGATTCATGGTCCGTGTTCGGGAGTACGCCGGGCTCTGGGCTGATGGCTCAGAGCCTGGAGCCTGCTTCCGATTCCAGTGTCTCCCCCTCTCTGCTCCCTCCCCCTGCTCATGCTCTGTCTCTCTCTGTCCCAAAAATAAATAAACATTGAAAAAAAAAAATTAAAAAAAAAACAACCCACCAACGTTTTGTTGTTGTTGTTGTTGTTGTTATTTTATTACTTTAAAAAGTTTTTAAATTTTATTTAAATCAGAGCTAGTTAACATATAGTGTAACAATGGTGTAAGGAGGAGAATTTAGTGATTCATCACTTACATATAACACCCAGTGCTCATCCCAGCGAGTGCCCTCCTTAATGCCCATCGCCCATTTAGCCCATTCCCCCACACCTTCCCTCCAGGAACCCTCAGTTTGTTCTCTGTATTTAAAGAGTCTCTCATGGTTTGCTTCCCCTCTTTTTATCTTATTTTTTCCTTCCCTTCCCTCTATATCTATCAATTTTGTTCTTAAACTCCACATATAGTGAAATCATAATGATATTTATCTTCTCTGACTTATTTCACTTAGCATAATACACTCTAGTTCCATCCACATTGTTGCAAATGACAAGATTTTATTCTTTTGATCCCCAACATTCTATTATTTATATATATATAAATATATATAAATTTATATATAGCTAGTGCTGCTATAAACATCGGGTTGCATGTGAACCTTTGAATCATTATTTTTCTGTCTCTACTAAGTTTTCATAACGGGCATGTCCACCCTCCTGACTGTCACTTTGATGGTTGTGTGATTTCCCTCCAAGGAAAGGTGTGCCTGGGCTGGTGAAAGACTTTCAGGGAGAGACTCGGAACCACTTGAAACCCCGCTTACCCACCCCCCCCCACCCCCTCCCCCCCCACTGCCTCCCCCCCCCTCATCCCCCCCTCCCACTCCACCTCACCTCCTTCCTGGCACGTTCCTCCTCCAGGGGGATGGTGTCGTGGTTCTTGTGTTCCTCCAGCAGACAGGCTCCGCACACGCAGCTGCCTTCCGTGCGGCAGTACAGCCGCCGCAGTTTGCGATGCTTCCGGCACAAGCGGCTCTTGAGATCCCACACGGGCTCTAGCAGCTCGTGGTCCTGGAACACCTGGTCCTCGAAGTGGCTGCTCAGGTGCTTCTCGCACAGGGAGGCCATGCACTGCAGACACGACTTGACTGACTTGAGCTTCTGGGCGGAACAGAAGTCGCAGGGCACGTCCCTGGGCCCGGCCAGGGGCTGTGAGGACCCCAAGGTCTGGCCCTTGACCTGGGCCAAGCAGGTCACCATCTCCTCCAGGATGCCGTTCTTGCAGAGGCGCGGTCTGGAGGGGAAGCTCTCCCGGCACTGGGGGCAGTACAGTGTCTCGCCCACGGTAGCCAGGTGGTCCCAGAAACCTTGGAGGCAGGCCATGCAGAAGTTGTGCCCGCAGGTGGTGGTGACCGGGTTGCGGAACACCTCCAGGCAGATGGGACAGAGGACTTGGTCCTCAAATGTGCGGAGACTGCTGTTACTCATCAGGAGCTGAGTGTGGGAAGGGCTTGAGGGCTGGGCCAGCGGCTGCGGGGCTGGCTTGTGGTCCTGGACTGGCCCTGAGAAGATAGAGCAAAGCCACGAAGAAGCCACGGCAGGAGCCGAGGGGCCTTGGAGGGGTACACTAGTCCTTCTCATAGAAACAGCTTCTGCCCATAGGGTACAGAGACTGTGTCACTGGTCAACCCATGGGGGGGGGGGCGGGGCATAACATGGGGATTGTGTTCTCTGTGTCCCAGCCCTGACCCCTGCAACAAACCTTGGACGAGCGAGAGGGTGGGCAGAAGGAAGTCACATCAATGGAAAGGAAAGGAGCCACTTCTTTGGCCCTTCAGACGAAAGGCAGGAAGCCCAAGTACTTACGTGAGACTTTCTGCATGTCAGGGAGGACTAAAGGCTTGGCTGCCCTGCGGTGGGATGGAAAAGGACCCCCAGGCATTCAGGTGCAGCGGCCTAGCCCTGGTCCCACTTCACCAACTGTTGGGAGGGTCCCCATCAGTCCACCCCAGCCCTCTCCATCTCCTGGGATCTGACCGCTGCCTTCTCACCTTTCCCTTCGGCTGCTGTGTTTTGATCTCCCTATCAAGTCGGCCCCCCTCCTCGAAGGCTGTCCCTAGTTTTGTTCCCTGACATCACAATTCAAGCGTGACCAGCCCCAGCATGCTGCTTGTGATGTCAGCAGAGCGAAAGGTGGGCCACCGGACATGCTATGGGTGCTGATGTGGCCTGCCCTCTCCATGGGTGATTCTTCACGCCAGGTCAGGGTCGCTGGTGCACCTGGAGCCGCTGGCAGTGGACCTAAGGGACTCACATTAGGGACCGGAGAGGAAAGTGGCAACAAAGTGGCAGGAGGATCTTGGGCAACTCCTTTCCTTCGTCTGGACCAGACATTCTTTTCTGGTGAATTGACAGGGTTGTTCCAGGAGATAATGTTCCAAAGCCTCTTCTTGGTCTAAAGTTGAATGATCAACATCATCCGATTGGTGATTCTAAAGACTGTTGCTTCCACTCTGGTTCTGATCCTCAGAAAGAGAAAAGGGATGAGCGAGGCGGAAGAGAGACTCTTCACGGCTCTCATTGCTTCTTTGTTGCTTTCTGTTTCCTATTCTCCCCCACCCCATAGGATAAACGCCCTGAAAAGCTTGCAATACATCACTGTCTTTCTCCAAAACATTAGCATTTGTTGGCTACAAATGGGAAATAGAAGGCCTCTCCTTTCCCCTTCTTAGAGGAAACATTTCAACATTTCTCCGTTAAGAATGATGTTTGCCGGGCACCTGGGTGGCCCAGTGGGTTAAGCGTCTGACTCTTGACTTCAGCTCAGGCCATGATCTCATGGTTTGTGAGTTCAAGCCTTGCATTGGGCTCTGTGCTGACAGTGCGGAGCCTGCTTGGGATTCTCTCTCTCCCTCTCTCTCTGTCCCTCCCCCACTTGCTCTCTCTCTCTCTCTCTCAAAATAAATAAAATATACAACAAAAAAGGTTTCTGATAAATTCCTGTTAAAAAAAAGACACACATGATCTTCTCTCCATGTTGTTTTATTAGAATCATTAACAGAAAAATGACATCAGCTAAAAATACACACATTAAGATATGTGAGACTTGATTCCGAGCAGTCAGGTTTGACTTGGGGAAAATAAATACAGAGGAGGTAATAGCCACAAAAGAAAGCCCACAAAGGCAAAAGCTACGGTCCGTAAGGGCAAGAGCTAGAATTAGTTAGGTTGAGTTAAATTTCCATGGTAACATTTCATGGAAAACAATGATCTTAATAAAAATATTTTAAAGTAAAAACGAAAATAAAAACAAAACCGAGATACAATTTAATGGCACTGTATAGAAAACTCATCAAGGGGGCGCCTGGGTGGCTCAGTCGGTTAAGCGTCCGACTTCGGCTCAGGTCAGGATCTCGCGGTCCGTGAGTTCGAGCCCCGCGTCGGGCTCTGGGCTGATGGCTCGGAGCCTGGAGCCTGCTTCGGATTCTGTGTGTCTCTCTCTCTCTGACCCTCCCCCGTTCATGCTCTCTCTCTGTCTTAAAAATAAATGAAACAACGTTAAAAAAAAAAAGAAAACTCATCAAGGAATTGGGCCGCGTGGGTGGCTCAGTAGGTTGAGCGCCCACTCTTGATTTCAGCTTAGGTCATGATCCCGAGGTTCAAGAGTTCGCATCCCACATGGGGCTCTATGCTGGCAGTGCAGAGCCTGTTTGGGATTCTCTCTTCCCTCTCACTCTGTCCCTATCCTGCTCATGTGCTCTCCCTCTCAAAATAAACTTAAAAAAAGAAAAAGAAAAAGAAAGCTCATCAAAGAATTAACCTGGCTTACCAGAGTTATAGTTCACTCCAAGGGAAAGGTTTACCAATGGAAGTCTATGGGGTGTGAGGTGTGATTCTTACTAGAAATTTAGCTGCCACTGGGCAGCTTTATGACTTTATGACTGAACAGATTCAGCAATACTCAAATGATCTATTGCAAAGGCTGATGCTGTATGGAGCTTCCAGCAAGCCCTGACTGGAGAATTACCATGCAGAACTCCAGCGTTTTGGAAAATCGCCCTGCCTTCTTTTGCAGGTAACTCTTCTCCTTTTGAGAGCCTACCTAACCATGGGACATCAAGCGACCATGCGGCCTGACCTGCCTGATATGAACTAGGTGTTGTCTAACCCACCAAGTCAGCCTGAGGAGTAGTTAACCTAGCCCAGAAATCGATGTGACTGTCTCTCAGACCGGGGAACACTGGCAATCGACGCTGCGTTTCACACTGGGCAGAGGGCAAGATCACCTCTGTGTAACGCGTAGCTGCGTCTTGTTACGTAGAGACATGAAGTTTTGTTTTTACCATTGTAAGTTCAAATACGCGTGGGAGCGTGTATACGGATGCCGAGCAGCCCAAGCTGCTGGCTATTACGTCTCAGCTCCAAGCCACCCTCCAGACTCTGCTCTGTGCATCTTTAACAGCTGAGTCCCGGACAGGTGCACCCATGGGGAACGTGAGAGGGGGACTGCAAGGTTGGGGAGGCGGGAGGGGGCGGGGCAGAAGGGACATGCTTCTTCAGGTTAACGGAGAAACCACAGCACCTCAGCTTTGCTCTGGCAGCAAGAGCTGGTTCCAGGAGTGTGGTCCTAGAACGGTTCCAGGAGTAGCGTGGTCCTACGACCAGTCTCGCTGAGCCCCCCTGGGACCGCAGCATCTCCTCTATGCGGCCCCTCGGCCCCTCCTCCAAGCCTGTTACTTTGTAATAATCCCAACCTCTTCCTTTGGCTCCCCTGCCCTAGAACAATAACTACCTCCCGCAGTCACTCCATCTGTGACACCTCAGTGGGCCTGGGGGCCCTTTCCTCTTCTTACCACTTGTTAACTGCTGTGGTCTGTCCCCCATTGGGCCCTGGCTGGTACAAACACACACCTCGTTCGCTGTGTGTATACACGTCTCCCCAGCTGTAAGCACCCTA